GAACATTAGCTCCTTCCAGGAGAGTATTGGAAACACTGGACGCCAACAGACAGATCACACAGCACAGCCAGCAAATGGAGGTTGATGATCAAGAATGTTAATAGGAAACACTCTTACAATACTACAGTATAACGTTAGAAAATCAAAGGACACAGTCATGGCCATGCTCTTGCGAGATCCCGATATAGGGCGATACGACATCCTCGCCATCCAGGAGCCATGGAAGAACCTATTTGACACGATAACTCACCATCTAGCCAAAGACCAGTTTCACCTATGCTACCCAGACAAGGATCGAAACTTCCCAGCTAGGGTCTGCTTTTTTATTAATAAGAGGCTTGATTACTCCAGGTGGCACTTTAGAGAGGCAAGCAGAGATCTCTGCTCGCTGAACCTAGTACTCGGAATAGAAGAAGAGCAGCAGATTGTGATACACAACGTCTATAACCCAACAAAAACTGTAACCGAGAGAGGAAGCACGCTTCTACTCCTGGAGCTGGCCATAGAACGATCGTCCTATCATGAATAAATCATTGTTGGCGACTTTAACCTCCACCACGAGCTATGGGGAGGTGATCGGGTCCAGTGAGCAGACCATGATGCCGCTGAGCTCACTACAATCATGGAAGACTACTGTCTCACGAGCAACCTTGCTCTAGGCACTATTACATATGAAGAGTGTGACGGAAGAACGACCATAGACCTTTGCCTTACGACGGCTGGCCTTATGGACAGACTGATTCAGTGCGAAATCGAAACAGACATGGACCATGACTCTGACCACCTACCTATTACTACCTCATTAGACCTAAATATTATTAAAATGATAGCTAAGCCCCGGCGAAATTGGAAAGCGTTAGACGAAAAGATATTTACTTGCGTGCTGCAACGGGAGCTTCTGCCGCAATGAAGATTAAGAATAAAGACGGCTTTGGACAGACATGTGGAAGAAGTAATGGCAGCTATAACGGCAGCTGTCGATGAAGCAGTACCGAAGACGGCTCTGTCACTGAGATCGAAGCCAGGGTGGAACGAAGAATGCTCTGCAGCCTTGGCAGAATCAAAACGACTCCGTCGGCGACACAGCCTGTATTGTACCGAAGAGACATGGGAAGCATACCGTGCGGCGCGAAATGACAAAGGTAGAGTTATCAAGAAAGCACTTAGATAGAACCATCGGGAGAAGGTAAAAGAAGCTGCCCAATCCCCGGCAACCCTCTGGCGGTTAGCAAAATGGGCCTGAAACAGACATAGTCAAACACCGAACGTGACACCCGCGCTAGTCGACCTAGCTACAAAGCAGCAAGCAATAACCCCTAGCGAAAAAGCAGAGCTTCTCAGAAAGACCTTCTTTCCGGTGCCACCTGACACTGATATCGAAGACATAGAGAATGCCAACTACCCTGCTCCTATAGCCATGCCACCGATAACAACGAGGGAAATAGAGGAGGCCATTGAGGAGGCAGCCCCGCTCAAGGCTCCAGGACCGGACGGCATCACCAATAAAGCACTCCAAATCGCCTCTCCCTGGATCAAGCACCATCTCACCAAGATCTTCAATCAGTCCCTCGCCCTTGGCTACTATCTGGAACACTTTCGATAATCGACAACGGTGGTCCTCAGGAAGCCAGGGAAAGACAATTATACTGTACCAAAGGCCTATAGGCCAATCGCTCTATTAAACACTATAGGAAAGATCATGGAAGCGGTCATAGCAAAGAGGCTGAGTTATCTCGCCGAGACTCATAACCTGCTGCCTAATACCCATATGGGTGGAAGAAAGCTAAGATTAACAGAACACGCCCTTCACCTTATCATCGACAAGATATATAACGCCTGGAACACTGGGCAAGGCAAGGTGGCAAGTCTACTGCTTCTGGATGTATCAGGGGCGTTTGACAACATTTCACATGCACGCCTACTACACAATCTGCGGAAGAGAAAGATAGATGAAAGAACAGTCAAGTGGATCGGAAGCTTCCTGCGCCCAAGATTCACAACGCTATCAATTGATGGCTTCACATCTGAACCCTACAAATTAGAGACAGGAGAGCCACAAGGATCGAATCTGTCACCGATCCTCTACCTCTTCTATAACGCAGACCTAATCGAAAAGTGCGGAGAGCTAGACGACACGGCCACAACAGGCTTTATAGATGACGTGGCTATACTTACCTGGGCAAACTCCACGAAAGAGACATGCAAGAAGCTCTAAGAGGCACTCCATATCGCAGAGCAGTGGGCGGCCACCTATGCATCTATCTTCGCGCCAGACAAATTCCAGCTTACTTACTTTACATGGACGAGAACAAGAATAGACGTCGAGGAGCCTCTGCAAACAAGATGAGGCACGATCGAACCAAAGAAAACATGCAAATACCTAGGTCTTATCATGGACTCCACCCTCACCTGGAAACAGCACATAGATGAAATACAACGCAAGGTCACTAACACAGTCAACGCCCTCAGCAGCCTCGGTGGTTTAACTTGGGGAGTGATAATAAGAGAAATGAGAAACATATACAAAGGAGTGGCTATGCCGCAGATAATATACGCCTATTCTGCCTAATCGAATGCAAACTGGAGAACCAGGGATAAGCCATACATAGAGCGAACATTGAGCAAGCTTCAAAGCCTACAGGCCAGAGCTTCTAGGGTGATTAGTGGAGTATACAAAGCAGCATCGATACCTGCCCTTGACGTAGAAACATACCTTCTACCAGTTAAACAGCAGATCTTCAAGCATAACGTCGACACTCTGGGAAGGGTCAGCCCAGCTGAACGCCGATATACAGAAGAGGAGGCAAGAAGAAACAAGAAGAAAAGCCCGAGACGAGCTATTGAACAAGCCATCAGAGACCGCTAAGGGCCAGATATCCGGAGACAAGAGCGCATCGTGCCTTATATTGTACCTCCATGGTGGCAGGGGCCACAGACGTTCATTAAAATAAATACAGAGGAGGCGCAAATTAAACACGAACAGATCATATAAGACGAGCCGGATGCCATACACATCTACATAGACGGTAGCGGCATTGGTGGTTATATCGGTACTGCTGCAGTCTGCACTACTACCCAAGAAACAAAGAGTGCTTACATGGGAGACGATATGACTTCCACCGTCTACGCCGGTGAACTCCAAGGCATTAGTCTTGCCCTCCAGATCGCACAGGAAGACAGGTCCAGAGGCAACAGTAGAAGCAAGGTCTTGATTTACACCGACAACCAGGCCGCCATCCGATCGACCGCAAAGCCCAAGGGTAAGTCGGGGGCATACCTGCTCAGAAGCATCGCAAAACAGATCGACGAACTCCAATTACAAGGTCTAAACACCGAGATCAGATAGGTCCCAGCGCACATTGGGATCCAAGGTAACGAAGAAGCGGATTGAGCGGCAAAGGAAGCAACAGGTTAGAGAGAAGGCGATTTCACGGGACTAAAAGCAGCAGAACCGCAGCAGCTATACCCACTCCGATCGACCATGAAGACATGGTCTCACAAAGAGACTATTACGTCATGGGAAAGAGACTGGATATCTGAAATACGCGGCCGAGCATCTTTCAGGCACACACCCAAACCCTTACGCAAGGTCTTGGACTTGCATGACGGGCTCAGCAAGAAGTACAGCGCGCTGCTTACGTAGCTGCGGACGGAGAAGATAGGACTTAAGGATTTCCTCTACAACCGAAAGGTACCAGGCATCTCTAGCAACAGATGCCCCTGTAGATCGGATCGATAAATGGTAGCGCACGTCCTCCTGCGCTGCCGCCAGCACCGCCAACTCCGGGACCAGGAACTAGGACGACTCCGAGGATGCAACAATCTCCGGAAGTTACTGAGCGAGCGCAAAGCAGCCGCCAAGGCAATCAAGTTCATCGAACTGACTCAGATCCTTGGGCAATTTCAGGATCGAGACCTTAACAGACAAAGCTGAGCACTGGGGGGAGACTGTAGGTATATAGCCGCGAAAGAGAGGGCCTCACAGCCCGACAGAGCCTAGAATCACGGATGCGTTGGTAGAAAACCACTATGTACATGGGCCGGCAAGCAAATATAAATAGTAGTTAGAGAGAGAAAAGCGGGAATTTTGGGAACAGCTGGTCAACGTGGTCATGACGTTGGCGAAGTGGGGTACCGCGGATCAACACTGATCCGCGAGGCTTCGGCTGTTCGCCGGACCCCGTTATCCGGGCATAGTCGTCTAAACGACTACAACCGAGTAGGATAATCAAATCAAATCAAATCAAATCTCTGGGCTGCCAGTGACTTGCAATCAGGGTGCACCCGCCATGACCCCACCGCAGGATTTCGCAAGCCAATTGCTCAACAGTCGCTCTCTTCTGTCATGACTCGCCAAAGGTTGGTGGTCTGACTCAGAGCCATCGAGAGACTCGCGCAAAGTCGGCTGGCCCAGATCACTTAAGCCGCAAAACCTCGGCCGAATCTGAGCCGCATTCAGTGACGTCAAATCATCCGTGGAGTATGTTTTCTGTACCCATCGCTCGTGACATCTGTCAACCCACGAGCCAACAATAGACATAGCACATCACATAAGCATCGGATCAAGATCTTACTGGCAAACAACTTTATGATTCTTTGTCTAAGATGTACTCTAGCTCTTTGCATTAAAGTACAGTAGTAACTGCCTATCAATATTACTAAGGGAATGTTGTAGCACCAATGTGCGATGCCAGGTGATGGAAATACGGGAAGTCTTCCCAGTAGACTTAGGTATTCGGAATCCAATTGAGAGTAATGAAAATTTTGCTTGATGTGTTGTGTTTTAACATTGACGTGCGTTTTTGACAAATTTACGCAGTATCAGCATCGTAGTTCGCGTCGTCAAAGGAAGGATCGTCAGAGTTGAGAGGAGCATCGGCATCAGCAGCACCAGTGCCTGCAGGGACAACAGTAGTCGAAGAAGAAGAGGCCGATGATATAGCTGCTGATCCAGTAGCAGTGGTAGTCGCTGCGCTGGTTGGGATGCTGGTAGGAATACTGGTAGGCGCAGCGGTGGCGCTTCCAGTGGCGCTGGCGGAAGCTATGCAGGCAGTTCTGTCAGAAGCACAAGATGTCTGAGTGGATCCAGACTTTCTGCGGCATACGTAGTAGGCGTAGTTGCATCGTCGGATGCTCTGCTCGTTTCTCCACCACTGAGCAAGACCAGAGACGGAGGGTCGAGAAAAGGTGCGAGTAGGAGGACCGCCGGCACTTGAAACAGTTGTAGTAGCTGTCTGAGCTGATGTGGCAGAGCCGGTAGTAGAAGATCCGCCCTTAATGCATGCTGCGTAGTTGGAAGCGCATGCTGATTGGTTGGACGAGTTTGTGATCAAGCAGTTGTTGTAAGTGCTGATGCACTTGTTGGCGTTGGAGTCTCTGAAGAGCCAGGTTGGCAGGAAGGGCAGAGAAGACATGGCTCCTCGGCCGGGAGCGGCAGTTGTCGAAGATGCAGCGGCAGCAGTGGTGGTGCTGCTGGGCTTTCTACCGCCGGGTCCGTTTTGAGGGTGGGCTGCGACAGAGACTGCAAGGGAGGCAGTGATGAGCTGAAGAGTGACCTTCATCTTGGAGAGCAAGTGTTGTTTACTTTGTAAGTGTATAAGTTGAGTTGTTCAAGGAGTGGTTATAAGACAAAGATTGTTGTTTGAGATAAATGTCAAAGAGCTTTTGAGTGTGAGTGAGTGACTGAGAGAGTGCATTCCCAGGGAACGGGGAGGGAGTTATATACTGTTATCATCATACCTTGCATCCATAACCATCAATCTTTGCCTTCGAGTCCAGACTTGATGATATCTGACGTAGCGTCAATCTTTCCACGTTCAGGCACCACATTGTGGCTTGCTCTCATTCCCCGTCGGCAGCCACGCCGCCACTGGCCTGAACCTTATAGACGAATATGCAAGGTCCAGATGTCATATATTTAGAGTTTCGGGTGATTAGCACTCTCTATACTTTGATGGTCCCTGAATCGATAACCGATCAACGTAATTAGACTCGGGGCGGAATTCCTCAGTGCCTTTTCAGGGACAAGTTTACTTAGTCCCTTTCGCTTTCCGGACCTGTTTCTCAAATACTGAACCCTCGATCTCAGGACCCCTCATTCCATAGCTAGGGCAAACAGGGCCTCGATTGGGTTTTGAGTAGAATCATCGACGATGGACTGGGAATCTCTACTGGTATTGCGTAGTTGGATGGCTGATCTACCCTCAACTACATCATCATCATGTCCTACCATGTTCCCGAAATGCCCGGATTTCAGCTTCATTAACCTCATATCTTGCCACCACTGTGTTTGTCGATGGCACCTTTATGTCATTTGTAGATCCTTTGCTCTCATCGTCCCAAGCCACTACAGACTCTTGCTCTCGAAGGCTTCCACCGCAAGAGACCAAATGATTACAGAGACAGCCCCCACCAGGTCCAAGTGTCGGCCCAGCCCGACTGGGCCAGTCGGCAATATGGAATAGCCGAGACATGTCGACAGCATCTGGGCCAGGCTAGCCAATCTATCCCCGCCTCAGTTCCATTTCCGTCTTCGGGCTCTCGCGAGTTGGTGCCTAAAACGGGTTAGAAGCAACTGTCATCCCCCAAGTCCCCAAGCTTTACAGTTGTCGCCCCCAAGAGTTGACAAGACGCCTCTCCAAGCTATCCTACCACTTCCGACGCTACACGGAAGTGTCTCGGGTAGGTTGCCTCGCTTGATCTTGGTCTTCTACCACGACTTAAGAAACTTCAAAGGTGATGTGAGGCGTCGGTCTTGCTTCTGATGAGTTTTTCAACGTGACGAGGTCTGTAGTATCAGATCAATGTTTGATAATTGATCATGGTAATCTCAGAGAAAAATATCTAGACAGCAATAATGTGATTGCCAACTCGTGATTAAGATCTCTTGTTCGCATGATTCTCATGTATATGGAGTTCCATGTAGGAGGGACCATGGATTGCAGCTTGATTATGTATTGCGCCGTATAGAACGTCCTAGTATCGGCCCAATCTGATAATGACCTGAAAGATAGCAGGCGTTTGAATCTTAGAGAAGAGCTGTTGCATCCAGTATGCTTGGGATCCTTCCCTTGAAGACTTGTAGCCACTTCCTCAAAACGTGGCGTAGTGGAATATCGCAAAGTTCAGTAAACTCGAGCTTAGAAACATCTTATTGAATTGATTACCTTGTGCGACTCTGTAGACCTGATGTTGAGTTCGATAACCTTATGATATATCTTCCACTACCGGTACATTTGGACCCTTAGTCATGTGCCCTACTACTCTTGCTCCAACCTGAGTCTCCTGGAATGCAGAAACTCATAGTCTGGCATAGCGTCTCTCACCCATCGCTCAAGCTTTTGCGCCCCTTCTTCGCCAAACTCGGCCTTCCACTTGACTACCTCCTGATCAATATCAACTTTCCCAGCGACTTTACTCTGGTCAATCGTGGTACTAGCGTTGATAGAGCTAAGCATCCTCTGCTCCACGTGGCTCAGCTTGTTCAGTTCTTCCTCTCCTGCCTTATCCCATGAGTAGCGGACTTTGCTCTCGTCAAGACCTGTCAACTGTGCATACTTTCCTACCAGTTGAGGGCATGTCATAACATCGTCGGCATCAACGACGATAGGCCAAATACTGTCGTTCGCAAAGTGCTCAGAGAAGAAGTCGTACAATGTTCTGTGCCACTTCATAGTGACTTCTGCTGTCATGGGCTCCTTTCTTGGGCGCTTGAAACCCTCCCATTCCATCTTGCCGAAACATGTGCGGTACAAAGATGGTATCATCAGAGCAGGGTGGCGGATGAGAAAAGTCGGGTTCCACGTCTTGAGAAACTCATCTGGAAACAGTGTGAGATTGAGTGGTGACCGAGTCGGTTGAGTGATGCCCATCATGGGAAGTGGTACCGCCTCTTTCTGAGATCCCGTTGAGCCATTGACATAACTATCCTCGCAACGAGGATGGTTCAACATGATAGAGTGTTCCTTTACATAAATAACCTGACCTTCCTTCTCGGCCGCGGCGATATAATCTTGGAATCTTTCAGAGCATTCCTGGATTACCTTGTTCACTGTCGCACTCTCTTCCTCCGTCCATGTGTCCATAGGCTTCTCAGCTACCAAGAAGTGCTTGGGCAAAGATGGAAGGAAGAAGTATCCTCCGTGGCTGGCAGGACGTACGTTCTGGTCGTCGAGGTTGAGCATCTTGACCAACAGGTTGGAGGCAGTACGAGGAGACGTAAGAAGCCAGTATCGAGGGCGTTGAGGAGAGTTTGCGCCTTTAGCCATCTTCCGTGATGTTACTTGAGGAATTCTTAAAGAGGTAAATTAAATCGAGCCAGCTGAAGCTTAGAAGATGAGACGTATTTGATGCTGATTTAAGAGTATGAGAACCTGAGCGAAGGATTCAAACTGAGTTGATGGAACGATTGACGAAGTACTTATAGTAAGTTGAACTGGCAGGTCGCCTACTTCCTGATGTCACAGATACATACAAGGGTGTTTTCGGTTGTCGGTCGCTTGGCTCGTCGCTCCGGGCCGTCGCCATGCATAGGAGGTGGTGCTAAGTGGGTTCAGACTTGAAACCGGCATTGGTTGATCACTTGAGACATTCATGCAAGACGCTTCTACGGCAATTCCAAAATGTCCGATCCGAATGTGTAAGCGGAGGATTTGTTTCCCTGTCAAGATCTTCGTCGTAGTCTAGTAAAAAGAGAAGATACGCGAAACTCAGTCGTTTGTGTTCGGTGACACGAGCAACCGCAGGCCTGATATGGTCACTGGTCCCCTTCTTTATGCCGTCCTACACACCAGATCGTCAGGGGTAAGGCAAAGTGCAAGACAATCCTTCTGATCTCCAAACGCCCGCCACAGCGCCATTGTTTGCTGTAAATATCGGAACTTTCAAGTGCGAACCTCCAGGCAGTTATGTAATGATCGACAGTGTTATGCAGATACGGTTAAGGATGACTCCACTTTGCCAGCAACCCTCGAGTCAAGCAGACCGTATCGCGTGGCATTATAAATAGCGACTTCCGAAAAATGATTCATCAGTCCAGGGAAGATTGCCGGCCGAGTGCCGCACCGCTCTTATCATATTTGACCTCGCGCAACAACGGCCTTTTTCAAAGACCGAAGACTGAGAGAAGTCCGAGTTTGATGACCTTATCATATCATGCACAACAAAAAGCTCTCCTTGTCCGACTATACATATCCTGTGTAGTGTTGAGTGCTGCTGGTACAAGTATACGGCAACTCGGGAGCCTGAGTCTATTTTCGCACCAATCGACTACCGACTTCAACGAGAGAAGAAGGATCGTTATTATCTCTGACGTAGCCATGTCTGTTTCAGTTGTGACTACCGGTCTAGAGGATTAATGATAAGACTTTCCTCTCAAGGTCATATCATCGTCTCAAGATTAGTCGAGCCTTGAATACTTGAACCTTGATTGTAACAAGAACTGCAAGAACGCTTATGGTGACTGAATTTTCTAATAGAAGATATCGAGCATAATGTGATGTTCTGCACAGTCCTTCAAAACTTGATGCTGCCGTGGTCTCTGAGCCTTACGAAGAGACTCGAAACGAAGGACGCTACATACATTATGCTGGTCCGAAAACTTAGATCCCTCGTTGAAGAGAGGCATGTCCATCAAAATTTAATCTCTCATGCATAGTAATTTTCCATCCGCTGCTCTGTCTATAAGATCATTCGACTGGCGACGACAGCCAGTTGCGATTCTGTCCATGTCCGTACTTCCATGCAAAGAATGTCATACGCAGCAAAGCGACCTGTAAAGCAAAATGCAGAAAACGCGCCGGTCTGATATATAGGCATTGCCTGCAATTTCTCATGGACATTTGAAGTTATTGTTGAAAGCGCAAACGGCGTTTTTGGCCTTCTCATCCTTGTGAGAATCGATATTACTATTTCATTTGTGGAACTAGTGATGCACCCTAATCTTTACATCGGTCAATTACTAGATACCGTAATTAGATGCGGTTCATAGCTGCATAGCATGCCAATTCGATAAATCTCAATCTCACGTCAGCTGTTCCTGCTCCGCCACTTGCGCGAATAGTTCTTATTTCATTGCGCACCATTAAGCTCTTTATTTCCACTCGACTTTCCTTATCAAAAAATCGATTCTTCCAACGACATCCAACTTACAATGGCTTCACCAACTTACGACTACATTGTTGTTGGAGGTGGCCTTGCAGGCTGCGTCCTCTCCAGCCGTATTCGCCAGTACGATGACGCAGTCAAGATACTCCTCATTGAAGCTGGAAAAGAAACGCGTGAGCGCTCGGATGTACATAATATGCAGGTTTTGAACTTGGGCAGTGAACTGGACTGGCAGTATCAGTCAGAACCCGTTGAAGCACTCATGGGTCGACGCATCACTCTCAACGCCGGAAAGGGCTTGGGCGGCAGCTCCGCTATCAACTCAGGTGAGTAAATGATTCTTGAATAGCAGGTGAACTCGTTGAGTAACGGTTATATTGTGCAGGTGGATGGACTCGTGGTGCTGCGGCAGACTACGACGAGTGGGCAGCTCTCGTTGGCGACGAGCGCTACAGCTACAAGGGCCAATTACCATGGTTCAAGAAATCAGAGCTCTGGTTCGATGACAAGAACCCAGAACAGCACGGCAAGGATGGGCCTATCCGTGTAACTTGCGCCAAGGCATCCAATCGCGTGTTCCCTCTTGCTGAGCAAGCCGCTGCTGGATGGGAAGAGCTTGGCGTTTCAACCTTGCCAGACGGCGATCAGAACACCGGGGACAACCTTGGGCGTGCTTACATCTGCGAAGCAAGATCTGATGGCAAACGCGAGTGGTCTGCCAATCAGTATTCATTGGATGGAATCGAAGTTCGTCTCGAGACTTTCGTGAACCGGGTCATCATTCAGAAAATACATGGGAATCTCAAAGCCACTGGTGTTGAGCTGGCCGACAGTAGTGTTGTCAATGGCCACAACATAATAGTCTCCGCTGGTGCATTCCGCTCTCCCCAGCTCCTTCAGCTCTCTGGTATCGGCCCGAGTACCCATCTTGAAAAGTTTGGCATTGAGCCGCTTGTAGATCTTCCAGAGGTTGGTAAGAACCTATCCGATCATATGATATTCTTCCAGCACTGGCGGCTACGTGACCCTTCTGCTGGACATACTATTGGGTCCGCCAATCCTCTTTTTCAACAACCCCAATACTCGCAAGGTGTACCTTTTGACTGGATCGTCAACACCGGTGTTCCCAAAGAGGGACTCGTTAAAGCTATTGAGAGAGATGAAGGGGCAAAGCCGAATGATTCCAAGCATGTTCTTCTCGCGAAAGATAGAACATTTATTGAAAACATCGTCATGTTTGCCAAGCTTCCGTTTCCTGGCGCCCCCATGGATGCAAAGCATATTACTAGTGCGTTGGTGAGCTTTCTGCCTACCTCGACAGGCTCTGTGTCATTGAAGTCTGGGAAGCCTGATGACCATCCAAAGGGTGAGCAATTGCCTCGATCTTGTGATATTTTCCATGTTCGTATCACTAACTGCAGGCAGTGAATCTCAACTATCTCTCCACTGAGGTAGACAAGTATGTCTTTCGTGAAGGATTGCGCCAGTTGACGAGATTCATGCTAGATTCCAAATTCAGTGATCAGATTATCGGAGAATCTATTCCCGAAGGACTCCCTGTGGAAGCTCTTGCACCGGATGATAGTGATGAAAAGTTGGATCAGAGGATAGCTATGACTGGCGGCACCTCGTGGCATCCTTCAGGTACTTGCTCTATGGGGAAAGTGGTTGACACAGAGTTTCGCGTCACAGGCGTTGAAGGACTTCGGGTTGTTGACGCATCAGTGATCCCTGTGCCACTGAGCGCACATCTTCAAGCCCCCCTCTATGCGCTTTCAGAGCAGGCAGCAGCTATTATCACTGGGAAGGTTTAGTTCAGTGTAAGATTGGCAGACATTGCAGAAGTTACTGATTGTATAATGAGTTATACGTGAAGCTTGAAACATGATTCGACAATTGTGAGGAAAATGCAAAGTTGGACACATATGATCTTTCCTGGCCATGACCTATTCACGGGAATTTGCAAGTGCACTTGGCGAAAACATCACTCTCTGCTATTACTGGCTAACGTGAATTCCCATCTCGTCATTGTTTTGATGTTGAGGTACCAACACTGCGCTCTCTGTTGGGAAGCCTATGCCTCTGTAGAATCTGTAATAATTAAGAGGTATTTTCCCTGTATAATCTGAAGTAGACGAGAGATTCTGAAGCCATACACTGCTCCCTAATCGGGGATGCTTAGGGTTGATATCCCATCTAATACTTTTAGGTTGTTTACAGTGTTTGCATGGCGGGGTCCCTGCGCAAGGTAGCCAGTAGACAGAAGTTCGCACTGTAGGTCACCCCGACACACGTTTGCCAGCCAATAAGCCAATAAGACAAGCATAGACCGGGAACGCATGGCTAGTATGTAAGAATCAAGAAACCCGTTTGCTGCATATCTCTGCTTTGGACTACTTATTATCCCGTCCATGTTGAAAGATCAGTATAAACAGAACACAATTGTTTTTCCAAATAACTATCGGCCGCCATCACCGCCCTTACTTGTCGGATATGAGGTGTTTGAATCTTGTGTGTATTTCTTCAATTTGCTAGGTAGCGGGGGTATCATTACCGGCTGGTATACATGGCCTTCAAGTCCAGAGATTGTCGGCCGGTACGGCCCCACTTTCGGACCTCCAATCTGGAGGTCCGAAAGTGGGTACCGAAAGTTCCATGATACCTATTACACGGACAGTTTAAAATATCACTCTAAATCTCGCTACTAGCCTAGGCCCTACCAGCCATGTTCCTCTTGAATTCACGCCAGATCCCTAGAGTTTGTTGATGGGGAAATAGTCATTGCTTGTGGCAGGAAAGGTACGTCGAATTGGCCGCTTGCTTAACATGGTGATCTCGTCATGTGCTATGAGAACATGCTTGGAGGATTTATGTAAGAATTAGGCGGCACACAGCGTGCCCGCGTTGGAAATGATGTGGTATGATGGAGGGTTCTATCTATTTGGAGTCTGCTAACGCCTTGTCTACTTGGTACTGATGGAATCTTCGTAGAGGTCTTTGCCAGTTCCATAAGCCGTCAAGTTTGGCACCGAATGAGTTGGCAAGGTCAAGACCCAGTGTATCCTGCGGACTTTGTGTTTAAATACAAAGCTTATCTACCGGCCCTCCAGCTATCCTAATCTTACCCAGTCTTTAGCTAACTATATTGATTATTTTCCTAGCACAAGAAACACCCTAGATATCCTCTTTTTTATTCCCATAAATACACCTAGCACTCCCGCACATACAACTGAATGCCGTCCCCTCCCAGTACTCAGCACCATAATCAACCGTAAAAGGCTCTCCTGGCGCGATGTTTCTCACAGCCTGGATCATGACTCTCCACTTCCACGACACCCTCATCGAGACGAACTGGACGTTGAAGTTACACGAGTGATTCATTTTCCGAGCCCAGTTTCCATAGATATGTGCGAGAGTTGAAATCACGACGAGGATCCTCGTCATGTTCAATCGCATCTCTCTCTTCAAACTGACCATCAATTTCGGATTCATCATCGGGCACAGTGGAAGAACTTGTATCCAATAACGCTTCCAAGCGCTGCTGGTACGGCTCGATATTTACGGATCTTGTTGGAGAGAACATGGGTTTTTCAAGACCCTGTCACTCTTCAGCAGCGACTTGAGCTTCAAATGACAACTGAGCCTCCGCAGTACGTCGCTCTTCCTCAACTCGTCGGTCAACAGCTAGCCGCTCCATCTCGGCGCGGAGCCTAGCAAACTGCTGTTATATCTAATGCCCCGCGACCGAGACCTAAGACTGGAAGTCCCGACGGTCGTTGGCGAGCTTGGTCGCGATTTTCTGCGTCTCGTTTCGGAAGGCTTGGACTTCTGTAAACCATTAGAGGGAGAAATTCTGGAGAACAGGTCGGTTACAAACCTAGTGGGATCATCGGATCTAGCAACATGCTGTCATCAGCTGGGATGGCTCTCTGTGGAGTGTTGGAAAAGGAAGGTGCGAGGGAATGATGATTGAACTGTTGGGCTCGTGGTCGTGGTCGTGGTCGTGGTTGCGTCTGCGTTTGCTGCTGTTGGTGCCGTCGCTGCTCTAAGAGACTTCGCTTCATCGCTTCGTCCAACTGGTCCTGGCTCCAACCTTGAACTTGGGGTTTGTTTATTAGTTAGTAATAGCGCAAGTGTCTGTTAGTGACTCTCATACCTGCTCCCTGCATGGCGCTGGTGACTGCCCCGGCGCATCGTTACCCTCCCAGTCCATGAAGTCTTGATCGTCGTCATCGTCATCATTATCGATGACAATGACTTCACTATTGCCCTCTTGCGATAGCTTGACATCGCGTACAGCATTGTCTTGTCCACTGACATCGTTGACTGACTCTGCACCCACAGCATCACCACCTTCCAGGAAGTCTCTGACTAGCTCGTTCGACCACAAAAGCTCCTTACGACCGGTTTCGCTGTTCCAGAACTCAGTGGCCCTGCCACTTTTCACCAGCCCGTTGAGGGTATTCGTCAAACTGCTTAGGAGCTTACGCTTGAGGACGATGCGATGTGCCCGGGACAGTTGGTCACGGACTATGCCTATACAGCTAGCAAGGCGACTCAAGGAAGCCTCGTCGGTGTTGAAGGTTGATTGGCTGTGGCGACCATGAGCAAGCCACTTCGCCATCTTCACTCTGTCCATAGGTAACCAGTAAACCCTATGGTTGGAATGTTTGAAGAGGTCTTACAAGAAGACCCCGTTATACTTTCTCTGGGCATCACTGGACTAGCAAGGAATCAGTCATATTGAAAAGCGAGATAGGATTTTGAAGTGACTTACTCCTGTGATCTTACACATTTTCTTTTCGAAACTAAGGGTGGCCGTCTAAATATTAGAAAAATAACTTGTGAGGTGGACGTTGATCCTACGATGTGCAAGGAGCGTTCTGGAGAGTTGAAGGGATTGAAAAGAGAGAGACGCCGAGAGCGCGAGAGACATGACCAAAGGCGGTGTACGGTTGGGTTGAGAAAAACAAAGAAACAATGCATTGCGGTTGAGCCACAATAATGAAGCAGCATCTTGAATTGTGAGGAGAGAAATGCACCTGTCAAAGAGAAGGCATAGAAAGAAATGAGACATAGTCCAAGAGTTGAGTAAATAAGATATTAGCAGTATCAAAGGGGGTACTATCAGTATGTCTGTTCAACCACGATGATAAAGTCCCATCAAGCAGTTTGCGTCAGAAGGGATACTAACAGCGCGAATAAGTCTGCATTAAAAAAAAACATAAAAAAAAGAACAAACACACAAACACACAAACACGGTCAACGGCAACCACATCCCGACTCCTTGACCTCGCATCAGTCCTTGGCATCATGACCCGGGCTGGCCACCCGCGTTGTCATGAGTGCTCAAATGCCTTTTGCAAGCGCCAAGTCGAGACGAGGATAGTGGAAGCCGTTCTGGTGTTTGACATGATCCTGCCAATCTCTCATCAACTCCCTGCTGCATTGCGCGCCATCCCCAACGAGATGACCCATGCTTCTAGGTTGAGAGGTGAGAGACTGCAGGATAAACTGGAGAGTTGGGGGTCCTGTATTCCTCACATGTCTTGTTCATGACCGGTGTGATGTGTCCCACATGGGCTGGCCACCGAGGCTGGAGATGTCATTGCTGTGCCGCGGACAAGATATGGGGGAAATCGAATTCATGTACATTTCCCTTTCTGTTTTCTTCTCGGATTGTCTTTTCGACCTCGTTGAGCCTTGGTTGGGCTGGCCACCTGCTTAAGTGTTTGATGTTGTGTCGGAAGTTGACGAATCGGAGAAAAGAACAGAGGGTCATCTTGGAGGATGAGGGAAGGGGAATTGGGGGCAGGTTCTTTTGTGAAGATGTAGGAGGTATTTACGTCGGAATTTAAGAGACTTTTGTTAAAAAAAAAAAAAAAAAAACAAAGGGAAGTTATGCCAAGATTTTAAAAACAGTCTTTTACTTATTTTGGATGTATCAATCTATTCGCCTAAGAAAGTTTCCTGTGTCACCCATCAAATGGGCTGGGGATGCTCGGGGTAATAAAGCCCGACAAGTAGCATCGGTCCCGTTTACCCCGGACTTTGGGGGGTCTTTATACCAGAGTTTCCCACTGTTTGTCAGAACCCCCCCGCTGTTAAATGAAGGACCCCGCTGTTCATAAGAAGCCTCCTGCTGTTGGTGAGAAGCCTCCGGCTGTTGATAAGAAGCAAACCTATGCCAGGGAGATGGAATCAAATTGAGATCCCGCACGCTGCATTCCTTTTCCATGAGACTAGACAGCCATTATGACGACTTCAAAATTATTATGTTGGCTTCTGTTGCCGATCCTCACGTTGGCGGCTATAGACAGGTAACGTCATCTCTGGGGAATGCTTCAATCCCACTGACTTCAAAGAAAACGAATCGTGACAGAGAACAACATCATCCGCAAAGGGCTTATCACCAATGAAACGACGCCTTTGCAAGTTGGAAACGGTAACTTTGCATTCAGTGTTGATACGACTGGAATGCAAACATACCTCCCTTTCAACACAATGTCGCGCTGGGCATGGCATAATGACACTGAACCAGCTGGAGAGTAAGTTGAGCCCGCCCTGGATGGGAACTGCTTCGGAAACTGACCACTTGTAGGCCAGTAGACGCATACACCGGCGTGCCTAAAGAGACGCATGGTAGAAACGTTTCTTATGATCTACCCGACCCAAATCTTCCTGATGTTTCTCAATGGCTCATTGGAAACCCCAATCGTATCAATCTTGGACGTATTGGACTGCGATTCAAAGGCGATACGCTGTCATCAAGCAGCATATCCAATACCCACCAGGAGCTAGACCTCTGGCATGGAGCCATCACATCAACTTTCACGATCGATGATGCTAAGGTCAAGGTTGTGACCCAAGGAGACTTTGAGTCAGACGCAGTTGTTTTCACCATTGACTCAGAATTGATCGAGTCGGGAAAGCTCGAAATCGAACTCGACTTTCCATACCCTCCAATCCATACAACAAAGTACAAGAACGAAGTCTTTGTTGGTGTCTATGACTTCCCTACGAATCATTCAACAAAGCTCTCAACGAACCTGAAACATAATACAGCGCACATCTATCACGACTTGGGTACCAAGTACTACGTGAACCTTCGTTGGCCCAAGAAGCATTCATTGGAATTGAAGCGCCTCGAGTTGCAGGGCTCTACCAAACCCACAGCTCATCGATATGTCCTTTCATCAAGGCATGGGAAGACCATTGCTTTCGTGGCGCACTTCTGTCCAGATAAGAGAGTACCTGGCCTGCCATCTACTATTGATAGGCGTAACAGAGCTGGATGGCAAGACTACTGGAGACAAGGGGGTTTTGTGGATTTGACCGAGTCTACGAACCCCAACGCTACTGAGCTACAACGTCGAATCGTTACCTCCCAATACCATGTCAGAGTTAACAGTGCTGCCGATGATGAGTCTCCACAAGAGAGCGGCCTGATGAACAACGGTTGGTATGGTAGGTAACGCTTGACTTATTTCCATAGTAATTTGCTGACCAAGACAGGCAAGTTTCACATGGAGATGGTTGTATGGCACAGCGCCCACTGGATCTCATGGGGCCGAGATCGATACTTCCACAATATCTTCCCTGCACTTTACGAGAAGCTTCTGCCTACATCACTCGCCAGAGCGAAGAAAATGGGATGGGAGGGAGCGCGCTGGCCAAAGATGACCGAAACCATTACCGGTCGAAGTTCACCTGGCGGAATCAACGCATATCTGATGTGGCAGCAGCCGCACCCAATGTACATGGCTATGCTTGCTTTCAAGAGTAAGCCCACGAAGAAGACGTTGAAGCGCTGGGATCCGATCTTGGAGGCGACTGCGGATTATATGGCATCCTATGCATGGTTCAACCAGTCGTCTGGAAGATATGATCTGGGTCCACCGTAAGTTAATCAGCAACCTGGGCAAAAAGTATGAATGCCGTTCTGATAAAATTGTAGTGCGATCGGTGTCACTGAAAACACTCCCCCGGAAAACACGCTCAATCTTGCCTACGAAGTCGCGTACTGGAGATACGGCCTCGACGTCGCCTGCGAGTGGAAGAAGAAACTCGGCTTCCCTGTACCTAAGCACTGGGCGACTGTTGCAAAGAGCCTGGCTAAGCCACCTCAGATCGGCGGACTGTACACAGTCTACGACGGTCTCAACTCGACCTGGTGGGACGATCCGGCACTCAACCGAGACCCGAGAAGTTTGATCATGCTACAAGGTATTTTACCCGACACACCGGCAGTGGACAAAGATGTAGCGCGACGAACGGCGGATAAGGTCTGGGAAGTCTGGACTGACCAAAACATCCGAGGATGGGGGCGGCCTGTACTAGCGATCAACTCGGCTCGCATTGGGAACCCTGAGCGCGCAATATATCACTTGACAGCATATGATTATTGGAAGTTTGATGACGCAGGTAAGTAAGATCGGTCGTTTTGCGAAATAGGCAGGATGAGACTGAGTTATCTCGCTGTAGGATTTGCCATTCGTGGTGGTGACGGAAACACACCACCTCCATTTATGCCTGGCAATGCTGGGTTCTTGTTAGCCGGTAAGCTTACATGGTTCTCGAGGAACAAATTGACGCTCACTGACACTGTCCACAGTGGCCTACATGGCTGAGGGATGGGATGGGTCGAAACGCGATACGCCTGGGTTTCCTCAAGATGACGGATGGGTAGTAAAGCATGAGGGACTTCGCAAGGCGCTGTGAGATCCGGCGTAGTTCTGCTTAGATAATTTTCAGTCGAGAGCTCTGCTCTAACACCAGGAACAGGCATGCTTGTGCTTCGAAACCCTCTCTACGGCGTACATCGGCTCTATGCTCTTGTCAAGTGAGGCTTCACTGATTCGAGACAATAGGTGACACATGCCTGACTCAAATACACTCGAATCTAAGTGATACATCAGAAATCACCATTTAAAATCGTTACATGTTTCATCGAAAGGTTTTTGAGCATGACATCGGTAGGTGAACGATCCGAAACGAAGGATTCATTGCGGGCGGCAATAAAAGAAAGCTTCTATTAACCCCGCTTCCTTCGTGGCATTTGCGGAGCAAGACTTTGTCGTAGGATCAGCCTAACAGCGTCACAGCACTATTAAAAGACGCTTATTTAGTCCAAAAAGCCTGTAAATCATTCCCTTCTTCTTTTCCGGCGCATTTCTACCTGCGAAAGAGGGGCGTAAGCTGAGTCAGATGCATCGCAACGATAAGGCCTGGTTTATCTTTTCTAAGTACGTGGTTGGTTTGAGGCTCGGACTAAGTTGTTCCAGAGCTCGCACTCCGGGAGCGAGCTCGAGCTATGAACTCTGCTCTCTTTTGAGTACTTGTAGATAATGTGCAGACAACTCTTCGAACCTCTCATTTCCGGAGTACAGTGAATGCATGTAGTTCGGCAAAAGCATTGGTACTTGATTGACCATGTTTCGCGTCTCTGATATTGGTTCATCGATCGACAGGACGAAGCTGTTCCAATACTTGGTCATCTTCTTCGTTTCTTTCAAGGCAATCACATACATACAACGGCTCTTCTTCCATCCGCTATCCAAATTCCCGGGCCCAAGGATCTGCGCGGCGTCGCGATTGTATGAATTCTACTGGGATTCGTATCAACATGGCCGCTTCTGGGCAAAGCTACCAGATCTTCATAGACGCTATGGTATGGCATTATTTCCATCCCCAGACATTCTCTGACAAGCATCCAGGACCCGTTGTTCGTATTGGACCAAATGAAGTCCATATCGAAGACTCTGAGTACTTCGATACAATCTTCGGATTTCGCCATTTGAACAAAGAGGCCATGACGGCTAAAGAGTTTGGGATCAACCACGCCCTATTTGGTGTTGAAGACTACAAGACTTACGTCAAGAAACGTGCTGCATTTGGAAATGCGTTTTCTCGAACAAGGCTTTCCAAGATACAGGGCCAAATCAACGAAGAGATTCAAAAAGGATGCACTTGGGTTGAGGAAAACAGTAAGAATGGAGGCCCTGTTGACCTGGCGTATGTATACCCCAATCGACACAAAAGAGTCGCTAACCTCGTACAAGCTTCTTGTTTCGGGCTGTTCCAGCAGAAATCATAACCAAGTATCTTTTCGGCCAAGAATATGGGTTTCTGCAACATGTGCAGACCACCAAGAACCTTTACGATAAGAGGATGGACCGATTGTTTGGGTTCTCACATCTGGGTCGATTCATACCCAAAGAGATACCTCTTTTTTTGTCTCTCTTTCGTCAGTTGATCTTAAGGGCTCTGGGATATAACGACCCAGGTTCTGCATTTCTTGATTACTTCTTAGTACGTAACGTGACACGTCGAAAGAATACTCAATCTGACGCCATAATAGCTCGCTCAGAAGTTGGTGCAAAAAGTGGTGGCTCAGCATAACCACTCGAATCGCAATGCTGAAGGTATCACCCAACATACTGTGTTTGATGACTTTCTGGACAGCTCGCTACCTCAAGAAGAAAAGGAAAAGGGCGCTCTTACTCAGCAAGCAGTGGCTATCTGGAGTGGAGGATGGGACACGGTTGGCTTCGTGTTGACCATGGCGGCCTACCAATTACTCCAGAATCCACAAGTTGAGCAGCGCCTTTACCAGGAACTCAAAGAGGCCTGGAAGGGCCCTACTGAACCACCTGAGATCACAACTTTGGAGAACCTACCATACCTTACTGCTGTAGTCAAGGAAACGTTTCGTCTCTCGCCCGGTGCGCTTTGCCGGCTGAGTCGCGTCAACCCTGGTGGCTTTGAACAGTATGGCGATTGGGAAATACCTCCGGGCACAATTATCAGCATGTCCATTCCGGATGTTCTTTCGGACGAGGCAATCTGGGGGTCTGATGCTGCTGTTTTCAAACCCGAAAGATGGCTCAGTGGAGGAGCGGACCTCGACAGATACCTAGTGACTTTCAGCAAAGGAACCCGAGTTTGTCCAGGAATTGAGTTGGCATGGATCGAGACTCGGCTTGTTATCGCGAGCCTTTTCCGAAGGTACGAGATGAGCATCGCAGCAGAGGCCGGTATATCTGATGATGATATCATGCCGTATTACGAAGGGTTTACGCCTGCAGTCAAGAATTGGATATCGCGACTGCCGGTCAAAGTGAAGCCTAGAGATTAGATTGTCTGTCCTGATATCGCCAACAGTGGAGGTTGTCCCAATAATGCCCAGAGGCTCCGTGTGGCTGTTCTGCGACATGATAGCTCTTATCAAGTATCCCATTCCTTCAAATGCAATGCGTCTTCCCTTTGCCGATCCATTTCTCGTTTGTTTTCGTATCGTCAGCACTAAATCAGGCCCATTCCTTGTTGAACGCTGGTGCAATGACACGGATGATGCGCTAAAGATTAACCTTGTCTGATAATCTTGTCCTTTAGCCCAAAATGAACCCAGTACCCCGCTACAGGTCTCATTCTCGGCCATTCAAAGACGTCACGGTGCCGCATACCCGTCTTTCAGGGCTGATGGCGGCCTCCACTAATAAGCACTTGACGCTGCAGCGAAAACCAACTTCATTCCGCTCAAAATTTAGATCGTCAACTTCAATATTTTTACTTCATTTTCATCATGTCAAACAGCGGACGCGGTCGAGGTGGATTATTCCAGCGAGGTGGTCGAGGCGGTCGAGGCGGGGGCTTGATAGGGTCAGCTGTCCGTGGCGTAGCAGGCGGCATTGGGCTCGTATCGGAGAGCGTTAGCTCTTACAAAGAGAAGAGAACCGCTGAGAAAAACGCCTCATCGTCAGAGTCAAGTCAGCAGCCTCAATCAAGCGGCATTGCTGCCAGCAACGAGCCGCCACCGAACTATGAGCCTCAGCCAAACCAGCATGAGGACTCGACTGAAAGACAATGGGAGCTCGACGAAACACAATCCGAGCTACTCTCAAGTCCCCAAAAGGGTGCCGACTCCGCTCAACAGACTCAAGATGACAAGGATCTTGTAGCCAGTTTTTTGAGAGTTCATGGCTCTCCAGCTGGCCGAAGCAATGCTCAATTGGAGTTACCAGTCATTCTTGCGCAGCGAAGACCAAAAGATCGAACTCGCGGCTTTGTTCGTGGATATGCCCCAATGCTTGAGACTGTCGGCATTGACCAGGCGGCTTGGCTGGACTTTCTAGATAAATTTGATCAGTCTACCCGAGCGTCGCCGTGGATCGAGGTCATCAACTTTGCAGAGTTGGGTGGTTTCTTTGTGCCAATTGCACCGAGCATTGCCATTAGCGCAGCCGTGTACAAAACAATTGAGGTTGCGAAGGATGTCCAAGGCAGACAAAGGTAACATTCTTTGGCAAAGCATCGCGCCGTCTGAAGCAGAAGCTTACGAACCCTACAGGTCAAACAAGTTCATTTCCCAGATGAATGAGCAATACTTCTATCCAAACGGCTTATGCTGTCTGATCATGACCTGGCGACCCGATTCCGGAAGGTCTCACGAGGTTGTTGACCTAACATCAACAGTCGCTTCTTCGATTGGATCTTATGACTCTGGATTTACTAATAAGTTTAAAACCTCCAGCGGAAAGACCTACGGTGATTTTGCTCTCCCCGAGGCTGCCCCTCTCATCTTTCCGACCCTCGATGTCCTTGCTGAGGCCGATAGCGAGGAGTCGAGAGGTTTGAAGCAAAGCCTGGGTGAGAAGAGAACATACATCCAGGATTATTATGATAAGAGGGCCCAGGCTCAGTTTGTAAGTCATTCATGTTGACAGCTGATGAGAGTATGGACTAAATTCGGCGACAGGCGCTCAATAGACCGGATAACCTCTTGGCCAACCAGCAAGAAGCTCCAAAGTTCACTTCACGATATGCTGATCCGAGCCATCCTTCCAACAATGGCTCCTTGATCTCCCTACTCACTGGCGGATATGTCGACCCAACGAAGCTTCGCCCGGGCTTTAGGGGCCAAGCATCAGAAGGCCAGAACCAAGGACAACCCAGTGGAGCACGAAGTGACAGGCAGCCCGGTTTGCCGCTGCCTTACAAGCCGGTCAAGGCGGCAAGGAAATTTCTTTTCAACAAGGTAACGATATATAGTGCTCCTCAAAGATTCCAAAAGGGGTAGCTAACTTGTATAGGATATTTTGTATCTAATGGTCGTCAATATGCCGACTGAAGATGAGCTCCGGGAGGCCAAGGCTGTGTTGGACCGCAGATAAGAAATTTGTACATTCCAGAGCGACAGTTTCCCTTAATTCACAGATCAAGTTCATAGGATCCTGGCGATTGCTGGTAAGTTGCCTGGACTGAACGACTCGCGGTGTCCGGGCTATCTTCGCAGTTCGAGCGATGGTGCAGTCAAACAGGTTGAACCCTTGAGCTTTTACACCAGATACAAATCGAGCTGTCACAAATGATAAGAGTTCTAAGACGAAGTGAAGAAAGTTCAATTAACATATTATTAAAAAGTCCACCTCCTAATTGTGACCGCTTCACGATCCTGTCTATAAGCTCAACCCTCCCTCATATCATGCCCGATTTAGGGCTTAACAGCCTGCAAGTGCGACTGCGCCAAGTTCGTGAAGAAACTGGCTCCGAGAACCTTGCTTGGAGTGGCAGGGTCAGTCGCATTGCAAAGCTTGGCAAAGTTGCCGTTCTTCCTGAGTCTGTCCTTGGTAAACTTGGAGTACTTGGACAGAGAGCATGACTTTCCAGGTCCATCCTGACAAGAAGGTACTGGGTAAACGACATCGTTAACCAAGATTCGAACGAACTTCTTCGAGCCGTAAGCCTTGTTGGAACCGCAGCTGAGACGCTCAAAGGCGATGGTACCTCTCATGGGAGAGATGTTGGAGCTGCGCCAAATACGGTCCTTGGGAATACGATCCAGGGGAAGAGGAGCTTGCTTGTCAAAGACGCCCGTAGCAACAGCCAGCTCGTTCAACTGACCGTCATTCAAGAAGCTCATAAGGATCTTGGGGAGCTTGAAAGGCTTTCCATCAAAGTCCTTACCCGTGGTATCAGGACCAGCAACGAAACGCTCAATGAGAGATTCAAGGAAAGGCACCATCATCTTTGAAGCAACCTTAGTCGCGGGTCCAACACCGTAGTAGTATCTGAGATCTTGCTGATACTCATATGCTTCCAGCTCCTTCTGGGTGAAGGTGTCGCAGAATGGCGAAAGCTTGCCTGTGATTTGCGACTCAAAACCACAGATGTAGGGGAAATCATTCCATGTGGAATCGTCGAGTTGAAGGTCGCCCTTGATGTACTTGGACAAGCGCTTCTTGAAGCCTGGAAGCCATCGCTGACGCCATTCGTCCTGCTGCTTGCTGCTGTCATCGACGAACGTAGGGCACATATCAGACGGAGCAAGGGTGTCGCCAAGGTGAGATGGGACGCCTTTGCCGGTCACGGAAACTACTGTACCCAGGGAAGAGTTGGTTCCCAGAAACCCGTGAAGGAAGAGCTGTGCGGTCTGGAGAACTCGTGTGTAGTTGTTGGCCCACACAATAAAGTCCTCGCCTTCCTGGTAGAGATCAGGGTATCTGTTTGCGTCAGTTAAGATCTTAAAAGCTGACAATGCCGAGCTCTTACCTGGTTCTAATGGTGTAACCCATATCAAACAGCTCCTTGTATCCAGTCTTGCTCAGCTGAGCGATCTGGATCTCAGGGTTGGTGAGAGGGCTCTCCCAAGTGTGAATGAAAGACAGAGGTCCCGTTGCAGTGTACTTGGACTCCCGGAACTAAATTGTTGGTCAGCCTTTTTCCATGATCAAAGTTCTTGATCATTTCTTACACGGCGAGCCATTTCGAGCCATCCATTGTGAGCTCCCTGGTCAGGATAGCGGGATCCGTGACGCGACACATAGGCAGCTTGGTCGACCTGGCATCCTTCTGGGACCGCTGAGGATATTCCGGTCAAGTCCTCGCCTGAATCTGTTAGATGAAAGACTGAACTCCGGCCCGATGCCACCTACCAATGTGCCATGGGCCGTTGGCTCCAACATGGGCCAGAGGGTTCTTTGCTGAAGCGCCATCGGGCAATAGAACGCCTTGAACGGGATCAAGCGAAGTGCCGGCTTCTGCGCTGCGGGCGGAGCATGATGAGCCTAGCAAGGCGACAGCAACAATTGGGGCTCTCATATTGCCTCTGTTAATGGATCAAGGTCCTCGGGAATGAGTGCACTGATAGACAGGCAAAGACAAAAGTTCAACGTTCATCAGTGAGGAGAAATATATACAACAACGACAGCCCTTGCTCGACCCGGAAATTAAACTCCAATTCTGTATAGACTGAATGTCATCCAAACTCTCTATTTCCGCCTTTCCGCTCGCTGTCAATTGAGATCTATCAACTGCGCCGCGATAAAGAACGGGCCTAGCAGGGGATAGTGCAGCACGTGTTCTCTGAGGAATAACTTATTCGGTCGCATAATGCAAAGAAGCTTGGTATCCATCATTGCATTGGTGGAAAAGTCAAAGCCTCGGTAAAGACGGGCCAATTGCCAAATTCGGAAACACATCAAGAACACTATCAGACCAGTAAGACAATAGAATCAATCTACGTGCCTCACTGACGTAGTGTGTAAATGTGATGGTCTCTATATGCCGCGGTTTATTAAGTTGGAAAGAAGAAGCTGCTTTTCGGACAACAATCGCTTTTGTAGTTTGAAGCCGCGATATCACTTCACGAGGTCCGGCTTTGAACCCCTGACAGGAAGGTATTATGCTGATCACGATGCAACATGACAGATCGGCTCATGAAGCTTGGACTTGGTGTTCTCCTCTTTACGTCGCTCTCCCCATAAATAGACGGTGAGTTCAAGACACGATTATAGCTTCAGTCTTGATCACCAACAAGCCAAGAAAACATGTCAGTCCGCACCATGTCCAGCCGGCTCCTTGCCGCCGCCCTCGCTCTTGGTGGTCTCTCCATGGGACAGACCACTGGAAACTTCAACTTCCTTACCTACAACGTCGCTGGACTTCCTGCTATCATCAACAACAACGAAGTTCCTGGTGACAAGGCAACCAACGCCAACCTCATTGGAACCGTTCTTGCCACCCAGAAGTATGATATTGTTCATATGCAAGAGGACTTCAACTATCATGCCTACATCTATGCGACTGACAACCATCCTTACCGTACTCCTACCTCTGGAGGCGTTCCCTTTGGTGATGGCCTCAACACTGTCGCCAACTATGACTGGACTGGTCTTGTTCGCAAGAAGTGGAACAAGTGCAACCTGAACTCTGGCGATTGTTTGACCCCCAAGGGCTTCAGCTTCATGCGCATGAAGATTCAGAGCATTGAGGTTGATCTCTACAACCTTCATGCTGATGCTGGGTACGTTAGTTGATTGATGCATATTGGACGGAAACTGACCATCCGCCACTTAGCTCCGACCAAGGTGATGTCGATGCGCGTTCTGCAGGTATCGATCAGATCCTGGCCTACATCAATGCGAACTCCCAGGGCAGGGCCGTCATTGTGGCTGGTGATACCAATGACAGATGGACCAACGCAGGTCGAAGCATCAACAAACTGACTGATGCCGGCTTCAGCGACTCTTGGGTCCAGCTCATTCAGGGAGGCAAGTTTCCCACGGCTGGAGCAACTGCAAACCCATGCAAAGTCCCTGCCGCTGACAACACATGTGAGATTGTTGATAAGGTTTTGTGAGTCACCATTCTCACTGTCATTTCAATGTCTTGTAATATGCTAATAGGTGTATAGCTATCGCTCGGGTAGTTCTGTGAAGCTTACTGCAAAGAGTTTCAACTATGTTCCTAAGGTTTTTGTTCAGCCTGATGGGAATATTCTCTCAGATCATAATCCTGTGCTTGTTGAGTTTTCTTGGTCTACTTAAGTTTAATTAGAAATAGGACTTTAATATAAGACCTTGTTGCTAATAGGCTGTTTTTTAGGCAAGGTAAATGCCTTAGCCTAGCTTAACTTTATAGTCTTCTTATTATGCCTTTTATATAGTTTTTTACTTATTTTCTTTCTAAAGCTATTTTTAAGATATAAAAGAAAGTAATTTTTTTTTTAAAAAAAAAAAGAAAAAAAAAAGGCTTTTTTTATATTTATAAAATAAAATAATAGCCTAATTATTATATAAGATTATCCTTATCTTAAATAAGTTAAGTAATTTTTATAATATTTTAATAATTACTTTAAAAAACCTTGTAATAATGTTTTTATTATAAGTAATTAATAATAAAGCTAGGTAGGTATTATAAGTAATTAGTAATAAAGCTAAGTAGGTATAATAGTGTTATATTAATTAAAGCTTAAGAAAGTAAGATTCTAATTAAGGGATTTTTATAGGGATATCTAAGGGGTTATAAGGTTATATAAGATAGAAATAAGCCTAGCTAGCTTAATTTAAGATTATAATAAGGCTATTATTATAATTATCCCCTTTTTTTTATTTATTTATCCTTAAATAATATAAAATTATATTAGAATTTAATAATTATTAATAGCCTTTTATAAATTTAAATTTAATATTAATAATTAAGAATTATATATTATTTATATTTAAATAAAACTCTTCTCTTAGTTATTTTCTTAATAAAAGCTATTAAATATTACAACCCTTGCGGTTATGTCATATATACTCCACAAATTCCCCACATCAAAAACCAATTATAATAAGACCGAGAAATCCTCTTTTGGTCCTCCAATTTCGACTAATAAGTCAAAGACTAAAATATTATAATAATAGTCTAAGACTAATTAACTATATACTTAGTCCAGGAGATAAGTACTACTAAGTATTAATAATATAATAATATATAAACCATAATTATTACCTAGATAAATATAAGCTTATTAGCTATTAATAAAACTTCTTTATATTAATTAAGCCTAATATATATTAAATCTACTATTAAGAGATATAATACTTTAATAAGCTTAATATTACACCCTATATAATCTACTAATAATAAACCTAGCATAGCTTAGTTTATTCACAGTTAGGAACTAACTGTTATATATTAATAGCTCTTATTTAGACTATACTACATAATACTAAGTAATATAAATATAATAGCCGCCCATATTAACCTTATCTAGTAATATACTACACCCTATACTGCTTTAGCACCTATTAACGCTAATCAGGATATAGATAATAACTCTAAGAGTAACACTAACTCTAATATTACCTAGCTTTATTAGCAGATAACTAATATAATAATTAAAATAGATAACCTTAGATAAGCCCTCGCTAAAGCCGCCGCGCTCTAAGCCTAGCAGGCCACTAACCACTAGAATGCCATTTAGGAAATATATCACCTCGCTGCTACTGCTACAAGCAGAAAAGAAGCAGGAGAAATCCTTAAACCTAATACACCTGAACTATTTAATAGAAATCCAGTAAAACTAGCTATATTTCTTACTTAGTACTAAGCCTTTATAAGCTACTTTC